ATATATATATATATATATATATATATATATCAGAAGTTAATTCTTAATCTTGATTTGTGCGAATAAGAATTTAATTCATTGTTTCTATGAAAATAATAGCATACAATTTTCTGGGAAGTCTTTGGGGGAACTCACCTTAAGTGGCAAAAAGCATTAATAAAACAAGTTTAATTCTATCGAGCAAAAGGAGTGGTTCAATAAGAATTTTAGATATTTATTTCTGAGAAATTCGTTCTCAAAATTCAAACAATGGTAAGTGTTTAAAATGACATAGAATGACTGTGAATAAGGCCTTGTTCATTTTGTTTTTTTGATTTCCTGAGAGATTGAATCCAATTCGGCCTCTCAACGCATCATTGCAAATTTAATGTTTAGTTAACTTCGTTAGATATATGAAATTTCTGCTTTTAGTAATTTGTCAAATCTCTCAGCATAACCTACTTTTAGCTCTTTATTATAATCCCATTTAACTCACACAGAACTGACATCCGTTTAATTCACTTTCATTGCTCATTTATGTTTTATTCCCTTGGTTTACCAAATTTGCTTACGATAAAACTTACTTCTCCATCTATTTGATGGGGTTTAGGCGACTATAAAGAAATCGTATTGAAGGGCACGGAACTCGTTTTCAGTAGAGCAGGGAACTGTGGAGGACACAATCAAAACAAACGGCAAAACCTTTAAAACTTTTTTGTCATAAATGCATTAATCATCTTGCAAAAGCATCAAAATGTCGATTAGCCGAGTCATTAAAGGTATTAACATTGTAAACAGTGAAAAAAGCAAATGGAAAAGATATTTTGAATCCAATAAATTTTAGTTACCCATATTATTCTTTTAGCTTGCAAAATTGACTTATGCGGTTGGATTCAATGGACATAATTTCACACAGATGAAATTCCAATTTTTATTATATTTACCTTAATAATTATGATTTTTTCATTATTTTAAACTGTTTAAATAAACCGACGTGGCAAATTTTGTTGGTCCTTGCGATAGTTTTAGTACCGCTATTTCTGAAGTCTTAAATAATGAACCAGAATTTCTCAATATTTCCAAATTGTAGAATTTCTTTGAAACCACCTCCATGCGTTGATCCTACCAAGGCTACATTAGCATACGGAAGATTGGCAATACCCAGATTAGTATTTTAAACGCATTCGTTAACACATTTTTTTCTAAGAATCGTGAACTCCAAGATGTCGATCTATTAACAAGGCAAAGAGCAATTAAGACACTTTGTGATTATTTGCATGACCCAGAGCATATTCACGAAGCTATTTGTGGGGGAATTATTCCATCACTTGTTAAACTTTTGACCGACGATGACGAATACATCCGAGCTATTACTGCAGAATGCTTTGTTATTCTTAATCGCAAGTTGATAAAAATAAAATTTATTGGTTTTAGAACACAGTAACGGTCGTGAAGCCTTTATTGAAAATAATGTATATGAATCGATTAAACTTCTTTTTTCATCCAGTGAAAAAGAAATCATCAGATTGAATGCTCATCGAGCGATTGAGCTTTTGGTTCTTAATCCGCTGTATGCCGAAATTTTGGTTAAACGGAGAATTATCTCATGTTTGCTCAGTTGTTACAGGAGGGAGATTAGAGAAATCCAGGTTTTATGACTAGTCACTTAATTATTCTTTTAGATTGTAATTCTTGATGCGCTGAATAAATGCCTTGCGATAAACCCAGAAGATGGACTTAATGCTGGCGGTATTGAGGCCTTCTATAATACCCTAACGCATTTAAGTTCGGATATTAGACATAAAAGTGTTCAGGCAATGCATCTATTAGTGTAATATTATGGTTTTCATCTATGAGTTCTTGTAGTGCTAGCGATAGGGGAAAAACAGAAACAATTGAGAAAGGGATGGTACCCAAATTAATCGAGCTTTTAAGTGATTCAAATTCCGAAATTCAGGCATCGGCTGCAGGAGCTCTCGCTTTGTAAGCCATTTTTAGTTTTCCAAAATTTATTGAGACATTTCAGTATTTGCGTTAAGACCGAGGGTCGGTACGCTTGCTTGAAAGGTTTCGCTATCCCTAGTCTGCTTAAATGCCTCTTCAATTCTAACAGTCGTGTTCGGGTAAATGCACTGAAGGTAGACATTTTGTTGAATAGATTATATAAATATTTAATTTAGGCCTTGGGTTGTATTGCTGAAGCTCCAGAAGGTAGGAGCAAGCTGCAAATTTCACTCGTAGAGGTTCGTAAATTCAGCCATCTATGCCTTTTACAAAATATATTTGAATTTTCGAAGTTCTCAATTACTTTTAAAATCTTATGAGATGTAGGAAAACGGACTTATTTCGATAGACAATCTTGTTTATTTAATTTTGTTAATTGAAAGTTGTATTCGTGGTAGGTTAACTATCGAATAAATTGATGACTTATTGATGTAGATTAATAGGCAGCTTCATAATATATTTATATTGCTAAATATATTAGATATATGCTTGGAATTTCAATGCCTAGTACTCACCAAAGAGTCGTTTCCAAATTGTACATTTTTTGCGTTGGC